TAGTTGTTTCCTTATTTATTATTTGTTTGCAGGTCCATGGCCGGTTTGTTCGTCTTAGTTTTGCTTGACTGTGTATTGCTTATTATGAATCAGTGATATGTGTCATCTGTCATTAGGTCAGACACACGGAATCAACTACAGGCTTTTCGCTGCGGGTATGAATGATGAATAAACAGTCCTTACCTTGGGGTGGGTTCATTTGATGCGTTTGGACGAGTAAAACAAACAAGAAGACCTACAAAGCATGAACACACGCAATTTACTCTTCAATCCAGCATACATAACTTCACTTCACCTGGATGTACTTCACAGTCGTTTTTCACATCAAAACGAAAATTGAGGGAAAGACACCAAACCATACTTTCACACATTACGTATCCACTGCAGTCTCCTACCCAGAGGCTCCTCTTCGGGAGAAGAACAAGACCGAGGGGCTCTGGGTACGAGACTTTATTCACTGTACCGCGCATGCGCATAGGTTGATTCAGGGTTCAAGAAATTTTGAAGCCGTTTCTGAAGTTTATGATTAAAAAAACGTTTACTGACAAATTAATGTTAACTTTAGACACACCGTTAGCTGCGAACCGTGCTCCCGATGTCCTGGGGAAAGGAATGGCCGCGTCCTGGTAACTACCATACGTCACTGGGTCACGTCGATAAGGGATCTGGGGTGGGAGATCCATGACTCGTTCTTCTTGAACCTGAATAATATAGTAATAATAATAGTACTAGTTAAGGGGGACTGAATTGTTCTACTCAAATATAAAGGTGTCCTGAAACAGGGGCTGATCCAGGAACCGGAAAAGTTTGGCGTTAGACAAATCTTAAGCCCCGTTTACACTAGCGAGTTTTGCGGCGATGTTTGCTGTGATTTTTTCGGCGATCCTGTCCATAATAAATAATGGTAAAGAATTTACTCGTAAAGTTTTATTCAGGATACCAAGATTTTCCTAGACGAATGCCTCTTTTGAAGGATGAGACAAAAGATTTTATATTTCCGAAAATTGCCACAAAAATCGCAGCAAAAATTGCCGCAAAAATCGCTAGTGTAAACGGGGCTTTACGCAGAATACTATGCAGGTCTGAGGCATGCTCTCAATAACATTCTTAAAATATGGCTTCCAGGTTTTCATGCTATTGCTCTGGGGATATTTTGGACAAAGAAAAGGTAAAAATTAATATCCCAAACTAAATTAAGACGAGCCGCAAACCCAACAATTCGCCCCTGCAGAAACTAAGATTGCGCTATGAAAGACAGCTGTACGCGCAAGTGAACACTAGACCACGTAATGTTACAGTTAAGTGATTATGTCACGGCTTTACCGCCACTTCTTCCAGATGACTGACAAGTTGTCTTAAGCACGGCTCCAGGCATGTCTGATTCAGTTTAACATGGTTCTGTGCTGTTTCTCGTAGTGTCTAAGGGATAAAGAGAATTTCATTATATAGTTTCTTACCATGGTCTACACTAAAGACGGGCTATACTGAGTGTGTGCGCACCGCCACGAGAAATGTAATGTTGAAAGTAATTCTGTTCAGTTTTATCAAAAAGATTTCCGGATTCAAAATAATACAAATATTGCGATATCGTTAATTTTTATTTCTCTTGTAGGATTATCGTAAAATTCCCTAGCAAAGCATGCAGTACAGTGTTAACAGTCAATGTAAGTTGTTTTAAAAACAATGTCTCGTGTCAGTTAATATTAAAAAGAATAACACGAAGACGAGGGTAGTAGGGCATTATTTACTAACCTTGATTAGTTTAGTCTTTGTATTGAGCGGTAAAGTTGTGTCAGGTGTGAATTCAAAGGACGGGATGGCGTTGTCAGGATACATCGATGGGAAGTGGATAGATAGAGTCACCTTGGTACTACTGGCTACTGATAGCGTGCAACACCGCTGACTAGCATCCATCTTTAAAGAAAGAGAGATTTGGTTCACAGATCAAGCGGAAACTCAATAGCTGTTATTACAGTTGAACCCGCAATAAAATAATCTTTTGTTTTAAGAATGATAGAAGTGAGGCTATCGGGTCGATACAATGCTTGCTGTCTAATTTGCATCTTATTTGGATTCATCCATAATGGGGCAGCATGGTCGAGTGGTCATAGCGTCGGTCTCGCAATCCGGTGGTGCCGGGTTCGAGTCCCGCTGTGGCCACTAGCTAAGACTGTATTTGTCCTGATTTCTGATTAGTTCAGATTCAATCTCGACCATGCTTGTAAATAGCCAACTGGTTTGCCTCCTTGCCAGTTGGGATTCTTAACACACTTTATGTATCTTTGATCATTCATTTCAGTTTATTAATTGTAGGAGGGCCATAATGGAAACTACTGGGCTACCAGTAATTTATGTTGACTTTCGTTAAATAAAGTCAATTTATTTTATTTTATTTTAATATCTGCTATAGACCCCTCGCACTGAGTCCCGAAAGGAATGGTTCTGGGGGACAAAACAATGGATTTTTTTGCATAAGAAAGACGCCCTTTTGTTTTGTCCCCCAGAGCAATTCCTCTAGGAACTCAATGCAAGGGGTCTATTGTCACTCGTACAGCCATATACCCGTTTTACCTGTTCCACGATAACGTTAGGAATATTAACGTTAATCAAAGCGAATTCCTGCTGCAGTGTTTGAGGTGTAGAAGACGAACGTTTGTCTTTAATGACCTCAAAAGATCCATTCATCTGGTTCCCACCTGCTAACGCCTCCACAGACAGGTTTATAACTCCATCGCGGTCACCCTGTGGCTTGTCGCTGCATGCCTGGAATAAAAAAAGAAAAGACAAATTGGTCAAAAAAAACCTATTGGTCACAGTTCCAATGTTCAGGGCAATTATATTTTTAACTGATAGTAAATATTGGGGTAATGTATGACGTATGATCGTATCGGCTTTGTTCAAACCATTTTGCCATCCGGGGGATGATCCAGGATTTTGTTCAGGGAGGGGTGCTGCGCACAAAGTTAACATAGGGAGGGGTGAACCCCTTATAATCAGAGGGGGAAAACATGATTTTGTATTGGTTATCTTCGAAGTAGGGGCACAAAGTCAAACCAGGGAAGGGTGCGCACCCCCTGCACCCCTTCCGTGGATCCGCCCCTGCCATCCCAGTCCCTCTCTACACGATAAAGGTTTAGCAGAGAGGGACCTAGTTTTGAGTTCTCTGTTGCTCAGGGTTAGCCTTGATTTTGTGCAGAATATTCATGTGTTCCAGTAGAGGTCCGTGGAATTTCAAAGTGTTTTGTATTTTTGAAGTTGTGCATTCTTTACTTTACCGTTGGTATTTGTGAATATTAGACACTGATAAGAGGCTAACCCATGAATGTGTAACCAAGGAGTACAGCGGTATTGTACGTAATGACCCCATGTGTTTTCTGTCGTGAATAGAGATGATGATAATGATATCACGACATGRTAGTTTGTGCTTCAGTAACTTACAGCAATAGTTAGTGGTTCTACTGCCCACAGTCTCAGGCAGTTATCTTTAGACCATGAGATAAGCTGGAACTCTTCTTCTCCTAGTTAGAAAATGCAGTAATCCCGTGTTAGATCGAAACAGTACTAAATAGTGCAAAATCTTTTTTTTTTTTTTGTTTTGTTTTGTTTTTGTTTTAAATTTAGAGTGCAATGGGCGCGCAGTTTTTATTCATTTATTCATTTTTTAGCGTACCTAAACTAAATTGGGTTCCCTGTGTTTTACACCCATTCCTATCGCGGTTCGACTTATATAATGTATTAGCCTAGTTGATGTTTTGCTTTCCACAGTATAGAATTTCGACAGCTTGTATTTTGATTTTGTATTTTGAGAAAGCTAGAGCTCCGCGTGTTTGCGTTTTTAGGGGGGGGGGGGGCGGGTTTGGTATTGGTGGAGTGAGTACATCCCTTCCCATGAAAATAAAGGACAGAAGACGTGGTCGCCATGTTGGTTGACATGACAAAAGACACCAAGACCAAAACTTTTGTCAAAGTCCACCTAAATGGCGGTTACAACGCAACACGCATCCCAAGAATAGGAAYAATGGAAATGGGTTAGTTAACTACTCTTTACCATTGTCAGCATGAGATCTCCAATGAAAATCCAACACCACATCAGTGTGTCCTTCAAATGTATGCACAGGGGGAGGTACTGTGGAGGTCATGTCCACTGTGTTCCACAGACATAAGCTGTTTTCACCTCGACGGAGTTGAGGTACAACTACAGTCACCAAACCATGACCAAAGGGCTGCAAATAAAAACCTTTATAAACTAAATTGCAAAATCATTGTCAGGTTTAGCAACTTGAAGAACATAGAAGCTGAGACCGAAATGGCAGATGGGGATGCACTTATCTATCCCCTCTATGGTTCCTTGGCATCACGTGAGTAGAGGGTTTTTATAGGAAGCTATCCGATTTTACTCCCTCGGCAAAACCCAACTAACACGCAAAATTTCAAATTGACCCGTGAATTTATCGTGCCCTGACTTAAATCAACCCGCTAGAGGTTGGTTAAGGGTTCAATCTGTGAGCTTACCGTGCCCTGACTTTGATCAGCCCGCCAGAAGTTGGTTTAGAATTCAATCTGTGAGTAGTCGTGCCCTGACTTAGATCAGCCCGCAAGAGGTTGGTTCAGGGTTCGATCTGCAAGATTACCGTGCCCTGACTTTGATTAACCCAGAGGAGGTTTAGGGTCGATAAAACTGAAAGGTTTGGTTCGTTACCCGACAGTGACTCACCGTGTATCGTGCTCTCCATACAGGATAACTGGCATTCAATTTTGCTTCGGGTTGCTGAGGGTTTTTAGTATTCCACAACTGAAGACAAAAATTCACATTAATYTCGACTTTTCCATCAAAATGTAGCTAAAATTAATATAATATATTTACGTTCGTCACCACTTTCCTATAGTAAGCACATCCCTACCTTAACTGTGGAGTCGTTACTACAAGTTGCCAGTGAGGTACCACTATGATGTGACCAGTCTATACCATGGACCTTGGATAGGTGAGCTGTAATGTACACTACTGGAGTGTTACCTTTCTGTGGGGTAAAAGAAAATATGAAGAATGATGAAAAATGGATTCATACTAAAGGGCAAAAAGCGCAACCTTCAAGTCCTTCAACCTTCAAATTTTATCGCTATCATGAGAGAAACTCTGGGCTGATGTACATCAGGTCATGGCTAACTCACAGATCGAATTGGAATTCAGCCTGTTAGGTTTTGCGGAGGGAGGAAAACCATAGAACCTGGAGTAAAACCCTCGAATCAAGCGCGACACCTAACAAACTATCCTTACACATGATGTCGAGATTAGGAATCGAAGCTGAGACCCTAGAGGTGAGAGGCCAATGCATGCAGTACCGCTGCACCTCCCATGGTTCCCTTAATAGCACAATAACCTTTTTATCCGATATCATCATCATAGTAACATCCGGCTGCCATGTTTTTAAATATACACTACTACTACTATCTTTTTTTCCCTTTTTTTAATCTCATCTCAAATCATACATACACTGAATCAGATTTACATCAAATACAACCATAGACCAAATGCGAAACCCACCCCAATGCGAGGCCTAACCCGTGAACGAAGCGATCCGGTGTAATCGGTGACTTTAAATCACGCCAGATACCCCCGTCCACAAGCCAAGCCCCACACCAGCGTGCGCGAGTCTCGCATCTGGTCCATGACTCACAAATTATTCGGATTACAAGTACATGATTATGTGCATATATATATTTAGTTACCATTTTGTCCTACTATCATTGTTACAACCACCACCACCACCATGATCAGCACCAACACTGGTCATCGTTATCATCATCATCACCATTATTATCAGTCCCTTTGCAATTTGACGTTTCGATGATTGACGTCATTTGACTCCTACTACCATAATGCTTCGCAAATTTTCTTTCTTATTCAAATTTGTATATCTTCATGAGAATAGTAAGACAATTGGTGCTAATTAACTAAACAAAGAAAAGTGTGCAAGGGAGAGGTCAATGACACCATCATGCAAACGTCGACCTATTCGTTCTACTCACTCTAAGATCCCAAACTCTTATGTCACCATCATGACTTGTGGCAAGAACATTCCTGTCTTCTCTGTTCCACTTTACTTGAGAAGCACCAACTAGATGCAAAAAAAGACAAGGTAAATCATTCTGTATATTGTTAATAACTTGCAAAATTAATGGTGTTAATTATCTTCCCTTGCAGCAGATGCTGGGCTGCAAAGGATGCACCTCAAAGACATTGAGGAAGGGGAAGTGGGAGGGGGGGAATACATTGGGGTGTACATTGTTAATAACTTGCAAAATAAATGGTGTTAATCATCTTTCCTTGCAGCAGATGCTGGGCTACAATGCTGGGGATGATCTTTTTGGCCAAACTGTTGTCCATACTGGCTGGGCACAAAAAATCTTTTCCAAGTACCRAAGCAGTGCATATTAGCATGAGATCATTGGATAATAGATCTCTTTACCTTGGATGTAATGTTTTCCTATTTCAGACTACAAGTCATGTACATGTCATTCCCTAAAATATCCTTTCCTTTTTTAACGGTTGTAAGAATTAAATTTGGATGCAACTCAGGCAAAGACCCTTATTCTCAAGAAAAAGACACATGGTCTGAATTGGRAAAAAAARCATTATGCAACTKTAGCCACCACTTGAWYAGTGGTCTGGTCTTTAAAAGAGGTSGTCCTGTTTTTTWWTTWMYTKGGKWAWWAAAWWTTTTTTACGAGGGGRAAAAATGGTTCTGAAGGTAAAAAGTGGTGCGGTTAAAACTGGACCAACCGTATTGGTGGCTACTGCCCTGTTATGCCCAAGWCAAAGAGTTTTATTATCCACAAGGTACCAGGAACCTTATGTTTTTTTTCCAGGCAATAAATAAAAAAGTCTGACTAATAATGTATTCTCAGCATGATTTTCATACCAACTGCTTGCAGAGAAGTGGCAGGTTTCTTGCTATCTCTGTGAAAACAACAAAAAAAGTTTTATTTTTATATAGGGAATAAAATAAGGTACAAGTTCAAGCCTGTCGCTTACTTTACTTGCCTGTTTTTATTTTATTTTTTTTATTTTTATCTTTTCCTTTATAATTTATCCTTTATTTATTCCTTCTACCCCTAGGTTACCAGAGAAGTTATAACTATTATTCCACTACATACTACACTAAATACTACATTTTGTTAGATAATTAATTAGTCTTTTTATCTTAGTTCTCATCTCAAATGAATATATTAATTACATTATTTTATGTCCTATGCAGCATACCTAAGATCCCAGATATAAACAAACTGATCAACTGAACATGTGGATATCAACTGAGGGTCATACCAAGACCAGTTCAAATCACTGTCACAGAAAAAGAAAACACAAATTTAGCTTTTAATTTACTATACTAATACTACAGTAGAATCTCTACAAAGCCCTCATGCACAGGAAATTGAGTGCATTCTGATAATGAGCGATAAATATTCACAACAAGCCAACAGCCAATTTCCCATGGGAAAATAGCTGTCAAATCTTGAGGCAGAATATTTATCCCTAGTGACTGATAGGAATGACTAGGAATGCACTTAGCCCATCATAATTGTGATTGACAATAGCCAAAACAGTAGACATCTGTAGTTGGTTASKTTGCAGAAACATGAAACTGGCTGTAAGGTCTTTAAGAAATGGTTCGCATTTTGCTGTTATACCTTATTGCTCTTGTATGTGCTCTGAGAATYTGCTGTTGAACACCACTCCCTTCTCTCCATCTCCAAATCTCTGCTTTTTGRTTGGACTGAAAGTCACACAGTTGCAAAGCATAATCAGCACCTATCAGTGTTACACCCCAATACTACACTATAGTTGGGATTAAGCTACAGTAGAATAGGGATTCCAGATTCTAGATTCCAGATTCCCCCTGCATCCAGCCTGTAGCTTACTGTTTATATTCAAAGGAAATAGCATTTCATTTTATATTATATATTATATTATAATTCTTTCTTATAGAAGAAACTTAATTACTTAACTGTTTTCATTGCTATGTGCTGATTGAGATGACAATCATGGCAAGTAAAGCAGACAATAGGATCAATCAAATAAATTGTTCAGTACATTTACAGTACTGGTACTCTGATTGAGGGCAGTGTATTGGCCAGTTTTATCTGTTGTGACTATTGTCTAAGCAAGAGAAGCCACGTGTCATGCGCTGCTAATGCACCACCTCTCACCAATGCAGCCCGAGTTCGAGTCGTGCAGATCTCGATTTCATATGTCATTAGAGTTGTTTGTTGGTTTTCTCCTGCGCTTCGAGGGTTTCTCTCCGGGTTCTCCAGTTTTTCTCCCTCCACAAAAAACAACTACTAAGGTCTAATTTGATCTTGGGCTTTCACCTAGTTGGAGCTTAGCTCCTCTTGTGATTGTCACAAGCTGTGATCATGATATAACAGCTAAAGCTTAATAGATTAGATAAGCAAACAGGTTAACGGCAATTACTTACTACAGATGCCAGTATGTCTTTGTGAGAAAGATGTGGATTCCATTCAGTAGTTCCACATTCCCATTTGCTGTTTCTCATGACCTTCTTAGCAATGACTGATGGATTGTCCATCTTGATAAAACCCAGTCCCTTTCTCCTAATTATAATAAATATTCATTACAATAAATAAACAATAATATTATTAGCTTATAAAGTATGCTTGCTCTGATTGGTAGAGAACTGTGCTATATTATTGTGAATATGGAGCAATGATTGCTGATGCTAATCAAGTGCATAGCTACCTTTGCAAAGAGGTGTTCGGTTTTTTWAAATTGAGATAAACTCATACAAAATGAAATTTAGGTGTGGTATCTCTGAGAGCAATTCTTCAAAATAATATATATTAGAGTGAAATAACTACAAACAAATTCTGGAAAAAAACTGATGTCCCAAGTACCATTGCTGTTTAATCACCAAGAATACTTATTTCTGCCACCTAAAAAATACTTGGAGAATGGTTTTCCTATGATAATACTTGCAATAAGTCTTTGAGTACAGAAAAGTACACAGTCCAAACACCAAATGTGATAGRATGTATACTCCATTTTATAGTCAGTGCCATTACGTGACCACAAATAATAACTCCAAGTTGATAGGGCCACCTGAAAATTATCATTTATGGTAACGGTGTTACCCTGTCTAATAAAGTTGTTATTATCATTATTGTGGAGTTTCTACCCATAGTATAGCTATACTTCTTATCACACGCGGCAACTCTATTCTTGGCTTGAAACTAATATTTTTGGTCACTGAATGGAACTATAAAATGGAGTAGTGTCAATGTGAATGTATACAGAAATGTCTAGAAAACTTAAACTAAGATCATTTCTACTTACGCTCCAAGGACAACATGACTACCAGTGCAATCAACTGACATAATAGTAGCCTARAGAAAAAGACAGTATTAAGCTAATATGGCCAATAGTAAATTATTATTATTATTATACATTTTACTAAGTATTGCAATTGTGATTGGTCGATGGCCCTCAACCAATCCCTGATATCGTGTGAACTCGACATAATAAATGAATTGTCTGTAGAAAAACCTACAGATAATACATTTATCATGTTAAGTTCATTCAAAGTCACTCTGTGGTATCTTTGCCAATTGCATTGAGATCCATTGAGATGTCTCTATAATTTAATGTTCATGTTAATGTTTTTCCAGGATACAAAATGCATAATAAAACAATTATTGAATTCGGTTACTGCATGATATCSTAAATTATTAAGACCTAAGCTGTGTTATCTGCCGCAGATTACATAGCCTCTGTCTTGATAATTTACGATATCATGCTCAACCTCATCCAATAATTGCTTATTATTAGATGAGTTGTATCAGTGCATAAATATATAGAAACAAAATTTATAATTGTTTTGCTATAAGCTTAAGCTTATATTTTTCAAACTAAAAAGATTGAATCAATTTWGAACACAATTTTGAAGCTCATTGTCTATTTGTTTTTAGATCTATTGAGACAATACAATTTTTAAATAAGATTTTGTCCTAGAACTGTGGGTTTGCAAGMGTTCCATGACAGAAACAAAATTCCATTTGCAATCAAGGATCTGGTAGAAAACACGTACAAGATGGAAGTATGGGGCCTGGTGATGTTTGCTGAAGCAAAAGCTTCAAGATCACGACATAATAACGAGTCTTACCGGCCAGTCATGATGTGGGATGCAAGCATCCTTAAATTCGGCCATCTTCCTGTGTGTTACTTGATCTGTTTTCTTCTTTCAACTTTACCGCTGACTCATTAATCGTCTCCTCAAGGTTTTTTTGAAAAATTGCACGAAAATTTAGCTTCTATTTTAATTTAATTTTGAAGTAAAAGCTATAATTTCTTACTTAGTAAATGGCTTTCGTAACAAGCGCTTTAGTATTTTAACTCATTCTGTAGCAATATACGATATTCACGTCTAAGTAAGAATTGGGTTTCCTGTGTTAAGCTTTTCGGATTTACACAGGCATCCCAACCCCAGATAAACCCGCACGCGGACCCGGATCGCCTCAAGTGGGACTCAAGTGGTGGAATGGCGGGAAACAAGGGTGTGGGGAACGGCACGGGGACAATCAAAGGTGAGGCCCCTTTTCGCCTTTTAGGGGTTTGATTCTATTTCGCTCCCCCTCCTATACTACTACGCGATCAGCTACAAGCCTAAAAAGCCTGTGAGTCAAAACAAGCTAATTAGCAGTAGTTTGTTAGAACTTCCGTATTTACAGAAGATCATACGGATGGGCACCACAAAGGAGCCCTATACTTCAAACAGTTAGTCACGTCTCAGGATCACTAGGACACACAATACCATACCCATCCTTATTAGAAGCAAGATTTTTTTTTCCGATAAATAATTTAGCACACATACACACACCGTTGTCTAATCCAATTAAAGAGTTAAACCTGCGAGGAATGTCCTTACATTATGTACATAGAAATCAATTAATGCTTTATTGTGTATTTTTCATATCCTTTCCAAATCCGACAATTTGCCGATTCCTTACACGAGTATTATTTTCGCCCTTTGACATTTTTCTCGGTTATCGGCACCTCAAACTAATGCTACAACCTCGATAATCATCAGTAATACGAAGGAGATGATTTCTGGATCCTTAATGTTCGGCCGTTATCTATCAAATTTGAGAGAAAAGTTATCGTAGTTCACATCATCTCTTCGGACGTTGCCATGGAAACGCCTTATTATTTTCTTCAAAAACCTTAACACGACGGAAAGGCGTCTTAATCACATCGGAAGACGATAAGAAGATAAGCARGATCATTACTACTAAGAGCTGAATCTCAAGACTTCTCTTGAATCGTCCGTTCACTTCACTTGATGAGCTGCTTCGTAACTGGAGCACCTTGAAGAATTCTGCCCTAGACGTCAGCTTGCTATTTCTGCACTTTGTCCCATGTCGCCCTTTSATTGAGGAAGAAATCGTAAGTTGAGATAGTTCTATTGATTATTGCTTCGCCAAAGTGTGTGTATACGTATACATGCGAGGTACAAGGGGTTTCAGCCGCTTTTGGCTTTTAAAACGTTTTGTTCAAGGCCGAGACTCATTCACTCAACATGATCAATGATCTTCAAGACGGTTTCAAGAAAATTTCGTCTTGGGCTCATACTTCAGTATAGCCGGCTCAACCATTTCTTTTTAATTTGATACGACAGTTTTCATATCCGTTAGCGGAGAAAGATTTAAGTGATCTAATTTAAAATTCTTTTTACAGCTTTGATTAATTTTATGAAAACTATAGGAACTAAGGATGGAACAGTTAATAAAAACAATTCAATGTTTTGATTGAAAACGTGCGAAAACGTGTGACGAAAAAGATAAGCTTCGGTCAGTTGTGTTTGATTTTTCAACCTGATCGCCGTTTTTAATCGATTCTGTGGTATTCTGGCTTCAAATTAGGACACATTGATATCTATCAAATTATCAGGCTGATTTGTTGAGTTTTAAAAAAAACAAATGGCAAGGGAAAAATTTTAATCCTTCACACTAGAATCGGTGTAAAAATAAACGCTTCGTATGAACTAAAATTAGTTTTTTGTATCTTCACACAAGCTTTTCAAATCTATCTTATATGCTTASTCTCGCGGGGAAAAGTAAACTGCATTTTATTTTTCCCTTCACATTCCATGAATATTCTGGAAATTCCCCACCTAAGTGCGACCTTCAATCAATCTAAAAAATTCAAAGACTTCTTATAGATATTTCTTATACAACGTCATACCTTACAACRTATGCGCGCTTGAACCGAAATATTCACAATTGTTCATTGTATCACTATCGACTTTAACTGATAACCATTATGGCACCCTGAAGTGTTTTGTTTAGGGCTTATTAGTGATATATACGGTTGGACACCTTATACGAGAAGCGAACCGTGGCATGTTTACCAGATGAACAAGTGTACGAGTGAACATAAATCATMCCTTTATTCCTATACTTTTTGGACTGATTAATACTCAGCTTTCTGCAAACGAGCCGTCTTACTAGCTTCAGAGAACAATCTTACACTACAGTAGCTCCAACCGTGACGGTTAATCGAAAAATATCTATATTTATATTTTTGTACGTTTTCAAATTTGAAACACTGGCTATTTTAACTCATTAACACTTCAAAATTAACCAGATTACAAGTTAGAGTTTCTTTTCTTCTGGAAAAAAGGGCTAAAATAACTTACTAATGACTATTTGTAATCGTACAGGTTTGGAAAAAATCAATTTAATTAGAATAAATTTAGATTGTTAGATGTACTGTACGTTTCTGGTAAACCAGGAAAAACTGCTAACAAATATTATTACGTATTATTAGCCCCAAATTAAAAAATCCGCCACTTTGTTTGCCTCCCAGAAACTCCAAACCAAAAAAAAAAAAAAACGGCCTTACGTTTTACGTTTTATTTTTACATAAATATAAAATCCGGCATTAAATTTTAGCTTTTTTTACTTTATCCATGCTATGTATCAATTTACTTTCAATCTCAATGGGTTTYGAATTCCACTAAAAAGATATGCGAAACAGCGAAATAATAAATTTTTATAGTCTTTAGTTCAATGTTGTGTCAATCTGAGCGAATATCTTGATATAATGTAAACTAAGAATGGTTTTTTATKTGTTAGGAATGTTTCTGTTGAAGCAGCTAACTCTTCATTAGCTAGTTATTATACAYATGTGCTAGTCAGTCTTAAGAAGCAACAGGAAGAATTATATATCCGCTCTTGATTTCTTTCTTGGTTTCTTCTTTTGGCTTTCCGTCTTGACTTTCTTTCTTTCATTTGTTTCTTCTGTCGTTTTTTTTTTT